GGGTGGCACCTGTGTCACCTCAGTGTCCCCGTGTCCCGTGTGCCACCCGCTGTCCCTGCAGGGTGGCACCTCGTCCCTCGCTGTCCCCAGGGTGTCCCCAGGGTGTCCCCAGGGTGTCCCCAGGGCGAGGAGGAGCCATCGCTGTCCCCAATGTCCCCAGTGTCCCTGTGCCATCACCGTGTCCCTGAGTGTCCCCAGGCTGGTGTCACACTGATGTCACCAATGTCCCCAGTGTCCCTGAGTGTCCCCAGGCTGGTGTCACCAATGTCCCCAATGTCCCCAGGCTGGTGTCACACTGATGTCCCCATGTCCCCAGTGTCCCCAGTGTCCCTGAGTGTCCCGGTGTCCCCAGGCTGGTGTCACCTCAATGTCCCCAATGTCCCCAGGCTGGTGTCACACTGATGTCACCTCAATGTCCCCAGTGTCCCTGTGCCATCACCGCATCCCTGAGTGTCCCCAGGCTGGTGTCACACTGATGTCCCCATGTCACCAATGTCCCCAATGTCCCCAGTGTCCCTGTGCCATCACCGCATCCCTGAGTGTCCCCAGGCTGGTGTCACACTGATGTCCCCAATGTCCCAGTGTCCCCAGGCTGGTGTCACCTCAATGTCCCCAATGTCCCAGTGTCCCCAGGCTGGTGTCACCTCAATGTCCCCAATGTCCCCAGGCTGGTGTCACACTGATGTCCCCATGTCCCCAATGTCCCCAGTGTCCCTGAGTGTCCCCAGGCTGGTGTCACACTGATGTCCCCAATGTCCCAGTGTCCCCAGGCTGGTGTCACAATGATGTCACCTCAATGTCCCCAATGTCCCCAGTGTCCCTGAGTGTCCCCAGGCTGGTGTTACAGAGATGTCACCAATGTCCCCTCGATGTCCCCAATGTCCCCAGTGTCCCTGTGACATCGCCGTGTCCCTGAGTGTCCTGGTGTCCCCAGGCTGGTGTCACACTGATGTCACCTCAATGTCCCCAATGTCCCAGTGTCCCCAGGCTGGTGTCACCTTAATGTCCCCAATGTCCCCAGTGTCCCTGTGCCATCGCCGTGTCCCTGAGTGTCCCCAGGCTGGTGTCACCTCAGTGTCACCTCAATGTCCCCAATGTCCCCTCGATGTCCCCTCAGGGATCACGTTCCTGTCGGGTGGCCAGAGCGAGGAGGAGCCTCTGAACCTCAACGCCATCAACCGCTGCC